TGCGCCTAGTGGCACTGCCCACCGTCTCGAAGGTCTCCAAGACAATTTGGATCTAGGCAGGGGTTCCAATTCTGTGCAGCGCGTCCATCTAGTAGATGGATCGATGGATAGATAGAAGGATGGATGGATCGATGGATAGATGGATGGGTAGATGGAGAGTCAATATGTGAGATGGGCGTGCGGTTATGCCATCACAAGCGAGGTGAAAGACAAAAAATAAAGGACCGGATAACCCCACATATGAATCTTTACGAATCTTAAGTTTCTAAAGCACAAAGCAGTCAGAGTCTCAATAGCTTCTACAACATGGCCTTGTCAGGAATTATATCAGAATTACACAACAGAGGGGTGGGAGAGAGGTGTGGGAGAGTAATGTGCACTGCGGATGTACGAGGTATTGTGCAGACATGTGTGTACAGCCACAACTAGCCGAAGTAAAACCCCATCGCTCTGCCGACGTAAAACCCTATAGCCAAGCTCTTTTTCATCGCGCAGACGAAAGCAGGTCGTGTTCGCGAACCTGGGCGTCGTCATGAGTATTACATGCAAAAGACGTCATAACCGTCTGTAAAAGTGAAGACCAAAGATTTTGTTTGTCACTGTCACCGCATCATTTGCGCCTTGGAATCTATGTCGCAGAGCTTTCCAATTGGGACGATGCCGTACCTGCATATGGTCGAACGATGTTTCCAAGAACCACTGTATCGGAAATGGTCCACGTTTCGTTTATGGTCGTCTTGACATTGAAAGCGCACCGTTTGCGCCTTGGTATCTGCTTCGCAGCGCTTTCCAAATTGGGTCGTGTCTGCAAGAAGATACTGCGCCTGCGCATTGTCGAAGAATGTTGCCAAAAGAGCGAAAACAGGACTGAACACAGAACACACAGCATTGTAAGAACAAAGTCTGGAAAGTTTCGGCCTTTCAGTCTGTCATGGTGCCTTGGCATCTGCCTCGCAGATTCGTACTGACATCATGTCTGCAAGAAGATGAAGCACCTGCACGTGGCCGAACGGACTCCACATAGAAACAGTGAACTGTAGGAAAGCAGGAACGTTTCGTTTCTAGGTTTTGTCATTGTAAGATAAAAGTAAAAGAGGAGTGGACATAGACACAGCCAACTGTATAGGAAATGAGCCACGTTTCGTTTATGGTGGTTTTGACATTGAAAGCGCACCGAAACTCCTTTGTTTCATTGCGCAGACGAAACGGCTATTATCTGCAACAAGATGCAGGTGCGAAGTGGCATCTACCCGGCAGTGCTTTTCAAATGGGATCGTATCTGCAAGAAGATGCTATGCTCATCTGCGTCAC